AGGGAAAGGCACCGACACACAAGTGTGTCGAGTACCAGTTCCCTCTGTTACCCTAATTAGAGGGGTGGTAGAGGGAACCGCGAAAGCTCCGAAACGAAAAGACTCCGTAAACCCGGCGGTATCAAATCTCCGTAAACTCGGCAGTGTTGTAGCAGGAGATTCATGGGGTGAAACATTCAATCCAAGAATGACAATCCAACGTATGCAGAGAACGCTGAGTCGATGTGTGATTCACGATGGCTTCGGCGCCTCTCTTGCGAGAGGATCACACTCTGCACCCAGTGGGACGACAGAGCGGCACACACTTTGACAATGGCTTTTCAGCTACATCAATTCCACGCGGAAATGAATGAGGGAACAGAAAGGCGAGTGAGTCCGAAAAATTGAAGATGTTGAACACAGGTGTTGCAATCGCTCAGAAATCGCAGAAAACGGCGGCAGCGAGCTCAGCAGCTAGAAAATGAGTTTGTGGGTGCAAACCACCATGGAAGCAAAAAATCAGGAATTGGACAGCGTGGTCAAAAGTTTCGGTTGCAGGTACACGGAAATGATCAGCTTCCGCTTCCTAGGATCTTGCAAAGGGTTTCGTTGGGCAGAGCCTTGCAAGTCCTCTCTGCCCCCCTGCAAACTTGGAAGGGTTTTATCCTAGAAACGGAGGGTGACACACACACACACACGCACGCACGCACCCATCATGTTACCATCACTTGAAAACTGCGACCTTTCTCTGCATTTCCATCACTTGGTGGTCATCACTCTCGTTTTTGCTGGGGGCGAGGCAGTGGATGCCAACATGTTCGCAGCAGATTGGGAGAATCGACAGTTCAAACTATTTGACCACCACTGGGTTCCCAGGCGAGTCCTTGACATTTCCTGCATCTCGGTGTGGAGTCTGGCCGAGGTATTTGCCCCTCGATGTGAACGAGGTCTACTTGAACTTTTCAGCCACCTTGCCGGAGGTGCTCGATGGCAAGGCGGCCCTTGTTGTTTTCGATTTTCTTTTTCTCCGGTTCCTATACCACCATATGGAACAAACCATATGGAACAAACCACCCCTTAATCTACTTGGAACAGGTGATGATTGGGTTCAATTGAGATCAATTGGAACTCCCAGCATGTGGGCACCTTTTTTTGTGAAGCAGCTTTCTGTCCACCTCCGTGATCCCCTATCCGAACCAAGAATGTGCCAGTTCTTTGATTTCTTATTGAAGGCGGCTGGAAAACCAGCCTTACTACTAATATTGATTGAGAACATGGCAGACATCATTCATGAAACGTCTATTGAAAGGAATTATATAATGGCACCATCATCATCTCCATTTTCCCTTCCTCTACCACAAGCCCTGTGAGTGGCAGCCATCTCGCGGACCAGCATGTCTTTTTTGAAGCAATACTTGGAGCGTACCACGAAGTAAGGACCCCAGTGTCCTTGTTCCAACCGCGCCAGGTGGATCACATGGGAAGCGTCTTCCTACTGGGAGGTGCGCTCATGGGGACTCCGCCACATCACCACGGTCCTGCGGTGAACTCCTTGGTATTTGGCCGCAAAGTGTGGTTCTTGGATCCCCCTGGACGTGAGTTCGTGGCGCACGAACCCATGTATGAGCCTTGGAGATGAAATGCGCTGGCCAGATGTGGACGACGAGAATAGGGAGTTGGCAAGATCATCGAGGAATGTCCTTTCACGATGTCAAAGTCAATCCGAGGCCATGTAAAAAGAGAGTGAAATCCCTTCCCAACAGCGTCTTTTCCAGTTCTCCAAGAGTTCGACCCTCCCAAAAGTGAAGGTGTTTGGTGTTCTCAAGGTCCTTGGGAGATTCCGGTGACCGGGCCAATTGACCAAGGCGATATCAAAAAAGGACGATTCGTGCGAGACTAAATAGAACGCACCGTCCAAGTGTGAGTCAAGTGACTGTGGAACCAGTCCATTGAAGAATTGTATACAATTGTAGGACATGGCATGTACAGTATAGAGTTGATTTTGGAATGAACATGAAGTTCTACCCAAATTAAGGCTCACTCACCCTGATCGTCCCATGTCGAACAGTGTAGATGATCATCCCTGATCATCCCTGATCCATTGGATGAAGACTACGGAACGCGATGGCACAGCCCGCAAGCCGACTGGCCATGTGCGTGGGCCGGAGATCTTCCCAAACTTCCTCTTAAATGAATGCGTCATGCCTTGACGGATACTTCTCCAGGCCGAGAAAAACACCAGAAGCCACTGGTATATATTGATGTCTCCCTTGGATCAGAACCATCCATTTGCAGGGCTGTGGTCAGAACGACACATATATCAGCCTCACCACTCAGGCCATGCCTTCTGAACTGGGGATCTTTCGGTAGGGTGGCCAGGACCTACGGTGTATTGCTTTCGTAATGGCCCACACATTCGGACTGAGCTTCTAAGGAGTATCTGAAGCGGACGAAGGGTGCGTGCCGCCCTCAACGTGACCATTGGAACAAACTACAGTGGACACAGTGCCGACCAAGTGTCTACCATGACTCTGACCCACTTGATTAGTCTGAGATGCCTACTTCTGTACCAATCTGTTCCTGCACGCATGGGACATGTAGACATGAGGCTGGTGACGCACACATTAGGAGAATCTGTGGATATCCCAAACAGGTCAAGTAGAACCCCCAAAGCGCGGGGCCAAAACAGCCAACCCATCGACCCTCTCCACGCCGTGACCACTTGCTTTTGACTGACAGCCTTTCGAGGGACCGGAGCGCCCAGCCGCAGCTCACTGAGGCCATCGTCCCGACGATGCTTGCAGGAGCCAGGCGATCTGCTCTTTGTGTGGCAAGCTCAGGAGCTTTCTGTGGGCGTTTGGAATGATGTTCCCGGCCCTTTTTTGGTTTGGTCGGCCTGGTAGGCAGAAAGGAGGTGAACGGATACAGTATATATACTTACATATATGAGACGTATGGTGATTGTAGCCCCAAGACGTGGGTTTGCGCCAAACTCTTGGGACATAGATCTAGCACCTGGTCATAGCAGATGAACACTCAGAAGGTCAGCATCGGGGCCATCTGAGTTTCGGGCAGACCATGCAAGTAATGACTTGGTGAAGATTCCAATGCAGCAAACGATATTTTTTTCTGGTGGCAAGGATGAAGCCGGTTTGATTCGTTCACCTAAAGGAGAAGTTAAACGTAACTCTGTCCTGTCCTGAGTAAGATCATTCTTCAGTTCACATCCCTTCACTTCACTGTGTTTCTCAAGGATATGAAGAACACGGTGTTTCAGCTGTTCACTATTTTCAGAACGGTCATGGTATCATGCCTCGTGCCCGGGGCACTGTCTCGGGAACCGGCCACCAAGGCCTAGAGGATGGACTCATAGCACCTTGTGCTTGAGCGATTGCGTGGCCGTCTCCTTGGAGTTGCTTGGAGGTGTTGGATTGTGAAATCTGAAATGAAAGAGACACGTATAAGATCATACAAGAGTTCCATTTGGTTTTAATCTCTATAGATGTTTTTTTTGAGATCTATATATTTAGTTATTTTGCCTTCTTTCTTTTTTGTTTTGATGAAAGAATTGGGACGAAGAAATGGGGCACAGACCGGTTCTCCGACCAGCCTTTCTTACAAACGCTGCCCACAGCGTGTGGGCCGTAGTGAGGCGGGAATTTTGTTTGAAACAACTCTGAACATTTGTTCCTTTTCGATCATATGTTTTCTTTATCTTTGGACCTTTCTTCCTTTCTTTCCTACATGTGAAACTTGGTCCAGGATGTGAATGCCACTGGCTTTCATTGTGTTTTGCTCAAGTTCCGAATGACAGCCCAACTCGTGGGGCGGCCTCCCACAAACATTTCTCATTTGTGTTCTGCATGTTCCAGGGTTGGGGCCTGGCTGGGGCTGGATTCCAACTCCAAGTCCACATACATCCAAACTACCAACTCAAAAGGCCTGCAAATATATGTAATATATATATATATATCAGGTCTTCAAATCTTTACACACCACCTGCAAGGATGATAGCATGCTACTCCAAGCAATTGAAGCCCAGAGTAGACAACCAATCCCGGATGCGGTTAGTGATGTTCTTCGTCGTTCGGGCATGAAACGACGCAGACACCCGTGGCCTGCGCGAGCTTGGTCACACAGGCTTCTGATTCCTATGGGGGTCTCACCAGTTATGCCCCTTCAAGGATTCGATGAGATCCCCGGTGATCATTTTGGGGGTGGTTCTCTTGTATACATGACCTATCTGACATTTGATCTGAGGCGACAATGAACCCTACAGGTTTTCTCAGCATGCCAGTCCGATCGGATTGGGTCCGAAGAAAACGATGGACACGTTAACATGACAGGTGATTGACAGGTCGACCGCCCCTTGTGGCTCCAGTTTCTTTTTGTGGAGATTGGAGCCTTGGCTGAGGTTGAGCCATCAGATGTTTGATCTTAGAGACTGATGGGGTGCCAAAAGAGCACGCCTATCGCGGTGCGAAAAGGTCGGTCTTCCGCGCAATGGTGGTGAGTGGGGTAGGCGATGTTATTGTGCATCCCGTGTGAGAAGATCTGCGGTTTGACGATCATTTTCCCAGCATGGAATAGCGCGAGTCTTTTTGAAGACACTCAAACAAAATGAAACAAAATGGTCACTCGCTCAAGTGACCTCTCCTAGTAAACCTAGGGGGTAGACCGACATATGTAAGCGATCCTTTTTCGCCTTGTATTGCACGGGTTTGGAGAAAGAATGTCGTAGCAACTGACAAGCCCATTTCAGACCTGGATTGATCTGCCCATGCAATGGCAGATGCGCCATTGCAACTGTTGGTTTTGACCAACTATCAGTGGAGCCCTGAAACTTGATTGACATCTGCTTAGGCTTTTCCGAACAGCAAATGATCAGGGGATATCTATCCAATCTATTCCAATCTAATATCATCCCTTTTGAGAAGCAGGGCCCCAGCAAATTGTTGCATTCTTCCTGCGCGCGACACAACATCTGGGCGGATGTCTGGACTCCTTCGCCAAGCATCCAGGCCAAGCTGAGCTTTGATCCTGATCCCGACAACGTGCTTCTCTTGCACAGCATCGCGGCCGAGGTGGGCACAGTGGACCACCAGGGTGGGTTGAAGAGTGACTGAACCTCGGCCGGCGCGGGAGGTTCCTCCATAAGAAGCTTACATTCCAGCAACAGCGACAAAGCCTGGATTGTGACAGGAGAGATTGCTTTTCTTTTTTTTAATCTTTTTTCGCATGTGTCCGCCACAGAGGGAGACATGGAGACGTGAATGGTCGATGTGCCACAGGATGACTCCCCCGAGATGCACCAGAGGAAACAGGAGCAGGAGAAGGCAGAACGAGCCAGAAGAGAGCAGAAGGCGCGGGGGGCTTTGGGGGTGCGGGATGAAGTATGATAGTGTTTTGAGACATGCGGGACGAAGCACGTCACGTACTCGATGTAGGTCTCTCTACGCTCCTATGATGGCGTGTTTTCACACCTGGAAATCTCGCAACCATGTTGGGGTTGAGGGCTCTACGCCTACCCAGGCCTGTGACGAAAAGTCAGTGATTTGGAAGGATCCCTTTTATGTTTCTCCTCAGCAAGGAGGTCGACAGTCGGATAACGCAGACCCGGGCCGGCATCTCTTAATTAGATTACTGTAACGAGTTTAATATACATCCCCTCAGAGGTTAAGCCCCTCGTGGGTCCTGGGAAGGTTTTTTTGGACTTTTTCCCCAGAACTTTGGTGCTGGGTTTCCCACGTGTCCACCTTGCGAGAGACATTTATGTGAAGACCATCGATGACAACCGTAGGTGTGCGGGAAGGGTTCTGTTGTACTATCCGCCACCTAACTGCGCTTAACTTGGATGCAAGCTGCTGTTGACACTTAAATCAACTTCCACCTTGAAGCTGCTTTCGGCTGTGCCCATGCTGGCGCATGGTGCCACTTGGGCACAAGAGAGTGTCTCATTCGGGATGAAAGCAGAAGAGAGATTGCTTTGGGACCCCCCCTCACCCAAGAAGAGTCTTTTGTTTCGGAAGGTGGGTCAGGGAGCGGCTTCGGCGGGTTCTGGCACGTACCCGGAGAGGTCGTACCCGGGAAGCTCAGGTACACTGGCCCACAAAGGTGGGATTTTCCACGTGTGTTGGGGCATTGGCAACAAGAAGCTACGCACGGTGGAAGCCATCGTAAAGCCCAAACCGATTCCACCGAATGGACGCCCAAACCTCGGGGGGGGCGGCACCCACCCACGACTGCAGCATAGACTGGAGGAGCGCACGGCGATTCTGACGCGGGTGGCTTAGACCGGTCGCATGGTGGGCCAGTGGGGGGGGGAGGGGATCGCAAGGAAAAAGGCAGGGCATTGGAGCTGGAGCTGCTTTATTTCTCTGAGTGCTTTAGACGTCAAACGTGTCATGAGTCACATGAGCATGGCTCAACAGATCACAGCAATCAGGGTTCATCAACAGCCTTTAGATGCCTTGGTCCTCTACAAACCCTTTTTTGCGGAGCCTGTCATGGCCATGGCCGAGTCTCAACCGACCTTTGGTCCCGAACGAACATGACTCTCTCTCTCTCTCTCGACTTCAGAAATCACCAGACGTGAGAACCTTCACGTCGCTGAACAGCGAGTCGCTCAACAGGACAGAAACAGACCCGTCTTTTTGAGGCTCGAGGAATGCACCATGGAGACCGTGAAGCTGCACACCGAGGAGTGACCAGCTGGGCGGACGAGGTCGGTGAGACTCGGAGCTTCCCCCGTTGGGTTGGGGCCTCCGCCTCGACTTTGGCAGGCCTGAACATATCATGTGATGAGAAGGTTTATACCCCTTGACCTGGGTCCAGGTGTGGGAGAGGTGTCATTTTGCCTGGGGAAGTGTCACAAACACAAAAGGACAGCCAGCAAAGCCAACCTGTAAAACACCACCCCCTGGGACTTTTCGGCTACACTGTGTACATAATCTCTCTCTATCAATCTATATCTATATTATGTAACATATATATATAAATATGATTAAATATGTATGTATATATATATATGTATATTATATAAAACTTTATAGTGTATGTATAATATATAATTCTAAGATTCCTAGAAGACAAAGTTCCTTTTCCCCAAAGACGGTGGTCGACCAGCACTCTCTTAACTGACTTGAGACTGGCAACCTGTGTTGTCCCCACCGATGATTCAAACACAGACGACGGGGTCAAGTGCTCCAAAAGGACAGGTTTCGTGGCAGATAGGAACCTTGAGACCTTCTCCTCAGTAGTCTGAGTCCAGGCCAACCCTCGACTCGCAGACTTGCAGAAGTTGGTTTGTCAGTCCAGAACTTCTTTCGTCGTTTGCTCAGCAAGAGGTTTCAATCTCGTCACCCTGCCCCATTGATCTGACGACTTCCTCCCCTGAAAACCTCCCAGGAGGTCTTCAAGATGAAGTTTATCCGCTCCATTGCAGAAGCCCTGCAGATCCCTAAACATCGCGTCAAGGTGAGTGAGACCGTGATTGTGGGAGAATGAGTGTGGGGGCACAAACGAAGCTGCTGTGGGCTGTTGGTGCCTTGTTTTGGTGACCGAGGAATGACAGGCAGTGGATGGACCAGAAACACCTGGACGCACCATGAAAGAAGCCACGAACCGAGGGGTTCTGACGAGGCTTTTAAGTAGAGACGACACCAGTGCGTCGATACCTGGGCGCCTTCTGTTTGATGTGACTGGGAACATCACAAAACCCGACGATGACAGGAAGTGGAGTTCCTCATTTTGACCCAATGTCGACTCTTGATGATATTTCAACCCCGATATGAAGAGATTCAATTCAAATGTCTGACAAACACCCGAAGACCAAAAGATCAATTTTCGATCTACACGTTGAAGCTGCTGCCAGGAAACCACAGAGTGTGTTATTGCTTTAAATGTGATGTGTCTTTTTGGCAGCATAGGTCAGGGTGTGTGAAGAACCATTTGGGGTATAGTAACATCCAAAAAACCAGTAAACACCGTTCTTCAACAGCAGAAAGAGAGTTCTTTTTGTTTCAGAATCCTGCTCTTGGTGGGTCGGACCTCATGAAGATGTTCCACTTGAAGGCGAAAGCACCAAAGGTCTATTAGACCCAACAGATCCCAAAAGCATTCTTCCAAGCCTCCAGTGACGACCAGTGACGGCCAGTGACGGCCAGTGATGACGAGTGACAACAGGATGTGGCTTTCTTCTCAGACTGCTTCGCAGTGAGATGCGAGCACATGTGACCACGTGGGGCAACCCAACCGTATCGTTCCAACATAGCAACCACCCGACCCTCCAGATGCATCACTGACGGTGTTGCAGGACTTTGCAGGACTGACTGAAGTTACAAACCCCGCGAGCAGGCACTCGTTCATTTCTCAAGGATCAGTCAGGCTGCCGCAAGCAGCCACCGTTTTCCCGATGGCACGAGTTGCCGCGAGACACGTGGGACCTCATCTTTGGTGTGGCGTGCGACATGGCACGAGCGGTAGCTCCTATGCTCCGGTGCAGCGGCGAGCCGTGCCGAAGCAGCTGGAGAGTCTTGTGTCAGGACCCGAGCGACCAGGTCGCCGAGTGCCCACGGTGGAAGAGCTGCATGTGGCCCATTGTCAATCCCTGGCTTTGCAGCCCAAGAGCACTGAAGCCCACTGGAATTGGGCTGCCTTAAGAGCTTGCAAGCTGGCGAATACCATGAAGACTGGAGACATTTGGAGGCATTGAGCCTGCGTGGAGCTTTCCGTCCGAAGCTGGGGGGTATGAACAGGCCGTTTGGTCTTGCCACGGTTCACCTGCGGTTCACCTGCGGGTTCGTTCGGGCGCATAGGAGCCCATCTCGTGTGCCAAAAAGAAAGCACCTCGAAGGTGAATTCTTTGTTGCTGATGTTGAGGCTTTCCCAATTCTGTGCGTGTCATTTTATTGCACGTGTTGGATCGTTTTTTGGGATTTGGTTGAGAGGGAGGGTGAACTTGTGGTGGGAAGGGGCAACGGCCGGCAACGACCGGCAACTGCCGGCAACGGCCGGCCCTCAAACATTAAAGAAGTGTCTAGAACCAAGAGAAGAGGCTTCCCGCACATTGCTGACAGAACAATTCACTTTCCCTCTGACTCTTTGGGCACCTTTGAGGGAATGGAGATCCCTGTGTTCACGCTGAAAAGGACCTTGGATGACCTTGGGAACCACCAAGTTCGAGCGAACTGCAGGAGTTGATGGGTGCCGTGCCATGATTTTCATGTTGCTGTATAAGTCACGCCGCCGCCAGCTGGACCCTCCAATCTGGGGATCACCGGCTGGACTATGCTGATGGGTGTCCATTGACAACCTCCAGGTAGAGGGCAATGTGCGGGAGAAAGGTATGACGAAGAGTTCAAAAGGGATTTACAAAAGCAAGGCCTATAGTGGAATGTGAATACTTCTTGGATAGATAAAGATCCCAAGAGGTCTTGACTCTGCTTATGTCTCTGATGAAGCAGACCAGATTTTGACAGGAAAAAGGGTAGAGGGCCCTACAAACAAGCCAATGGAAACAGATTCAATAAACACCGACAGCTGGCCTTTGCCTGACATGACGGGCTGATTCTGTTAACAGGATGAATCCCAACAGAAAAGAAAAGAAGGATCTCTCTACCCGCACCTTCAGGCTTTCTGGAAGCAAACTCCTGCTGGTAAAGGCATCTATGGCCGCTTTCAGCTTTCGGCCTTTGGTTCGACTGAGGATTTGGCTGGCTGTGCTGAAGCCTTCGCGCAAGCCAAGCGTAGGGACTTCCGCGTTTTTTACCTCCTTGCCGAGGAAGCCATCTTGAAGGCCGGCGTGAAGGGGTGCGGATGGACGGCACCCGGCGGGACGGGATTGACGCCACCTCTTCAGGCCGGCGGGAAGTAGGGGGACGTTATTTTTTCGGGGGGAAGTAAAGAAGGAAGGACTCTTGAAGGACAATGTTTGAATAGATCTTAAGACCGCAGACCTGTAAGTGGTGACCCGCAATCAGTAATCTTCTTTCAAGGAACATCAGTTTTCCAGTTCTTTTTCTCAGTGTCTTTTGCATCTGCTTCACGAGACTCTCATGTGACTGATCGTCAAGTTGTTTCGTACTCAGCTAGTTGTTTCATGTTGCTTAGTTGGTTCAGCAATGCTCTTTGGGTCCTCTTTGGGTCCTGGAATGGCCACTGAAAGCTTGCCTTGGGTTGGTTCATTGCTCGGGTTTCTTCACATTCCTTTGGAATGCCAGGAGAAATGCTGGCACTGGACCCAAACAGCTGGTGGATTCTCTTTTCGGTCACCAGATGTCAGGGTTCTTTCCTTCTTGACTGCCGAGACTGGGGGTTGGACCTGAGGTGCATTTGTTTGAGGCCTCCGAGGCGGCGGGGGGGGTCCCGGACGGGGATGCTGCGCCAGCGGCCTGAAAGGCCTTCTTCGGAACCAAGGAAAGGCATCCACTGGAAGGGTAGGGCTGGCCGATTGGTTGATTCCCAAACCAAAAGTTCGAGGGATGGTCGTGTACGCTGAGAAACGCGGCATAGACGAGGTCCCCTCTTGAAGCCAATCTGGATGGCTCTGTGCCTTCGAAAGGCAAAGAGACTGAATTGGCTTTTACACATGGGGGTTCAGAAGGACCTACCGTGGTCGTTTTGGGTGGTGGTCAAAAGTTTCGAATATGATACTGTACATGTGTTCCATCCCGAACTTTTGGGTTATGGTTCTGTCAATTGACCACTTCTTTTCTCAGGGGATGGGGGGCATCTTTTTCCCACTGTGTTGACTCAGAGGCTCGGCTCGAGCCAAGCTCCACTCCGCAGGGCCACGAAGAAGTGAGTGAGAGAGATCCTCAATTTCACACGATCCCGTCGATCAGATCATGGTGACCGCAGGGTGAAACGACCACCTGTATCCACCTGAAATTAATGGACATCATTGTTTTTCCCCACATCTCTGTGTGGGGTTCTAGTTTTTTGGCTGCCATCCCGCCCGACTCCGCCCGCCCTTCCCTCCGCCCGCCCGTCCTTCCCTCCGCCCGCCCTCCTTCCCTCCGTCCACTCCCTCACTCACTCAAGCCCTCCTTCCCTCCGTCCACTCCCTCACTCACTCAACTCCCAACTTCATCTATTTTCGTCAGCACATTCACACACACAACACAACATCTCACATCTCACATTCACACACACAACACAATTCACTCACTCACTCACTCACTCACTCACTCACTCACTCAATTCACTCACTCACTCACTGTACCCAGAGCCTCACAGCCGCGGCAGGCGCAGTACCCAGAGCCTCACAGAAGGGGCTGCGGCGCGCGTTGTCGCCGCTGGTGCCGCTGGCTGTCTTCCGCGTGGCAGGCGCAGTACCCAGAGCCTCCCAGAAGGGGCTGCGGCGCGCG